TTCACTGGGCTTCCAGGTTAGACATAGAAAAATCCTCAATGATGGTAGACTTGGTGTCGGACAAGTTTTTCGGAAAGCGTGGTTGGAAGATATGCAATCATGCTAGTCCCATCTCATGGCTATGTGTAGACAACCATTGGACTTAAGTTGGTAGAGGGGAGATGTTTCAACAATTAGGACGATGACTGCCCAAAAACGGATATCATTTGGGATTTCGTCATTAATTACAGAAAAGCAAGTTTTTCAAAAATACTGGCTGCCTCAAGAATCGCACGCAAAAGAGTATCGACTCAAAAGTCGAGTAAATGCACATAGAACCAACAAAAACCATGGAGATGAGAGGATAAGAGGCAAAGCCACCGCGTCATCACTATTGTGGCACAGTAGTTGAAGGTGAGGAACACACTTCAGCTACTGTGCCGCAGGAAGAAAGGAACATTTGACACAAAATAAAACAAAACATTTAAGGTTTGTTTTTCATACGCTGGTTTTTCTATTTTGTCATTGTTAACTTTCGAAGTGTTAAACATGTAAATCAATACAATGCTGTACACAATTCTTCCACTGATTCCGGTTGCAGGCCATGTCTTTAAGCATGTTAAGCCATTGACACTCCTCATGCTGGAAAATGTACAGGTCCAACGGCGGCTAGACGCGGTTTCATATGCTGTCGCCAAGTGGTAGAGCACTACGCGGTCGTCACCAGCCAGATCCTTGAGGAGCGAATGGAGCGTGATGCGGAAGGCGCTCAGGTGCTATGCGGTGGACGTGATCGAGCCACCTCAGCTGGCGCAGCAAAACCAGTGTGCTGAAGGGAATACTCGCATTCACCAAGATGCGACGTCGAATGTCATCACTGTGAACACGATGTTGACACCGAACACGAGCGATTATTTTTTTAAAACCGTTGTCGAAGGCAGAAAGACGACGCATGTCTTCCATGCGAATTGGCCAGAACTCGCTCCCATACAAGAATACTGAACGAACAGATGCACTGTAAACACGGTCCTTTAGCGAGGAAACGTCGCGAGAACGCCATAAGTGCCTCAGATTGACAAATGCTGATCGGGCTCCAGAGATGCGAAGAGAAACTTACATGCTGATAGTGCTATCAGTAGAAACACAGCTCCCCAGGTAGATGAAACTACCTACCTGTTCAAGTTGTGCACCTTCGAGAGTGAGCACGGGAGCAGGTATAGGCCAATCCTGGAGCAGCACTTTACACTTCGATGGGGCGGAGCTCACGGGATACTTAGATGCTTCAACCGCCAAACCATCGAGAATGAGTTGCATACCCAGATGATCGTCACCAAGTAAGGCAATATCATCAACATAAGCTAAATTTAAGTAGAAGCTCTAAGCCAAAATGTTAGAAACCTTTTAGAGCACTCGAAAGAACGTCTTTGATTGCGAAGTTGAAGAGGAATGTGGACATAGGGCAGCCCTGTTGCACACCGCCATTGCCAGCGAATGATGAGGAACGCTTACCATAGACCCTCACTCTGTACGAAGGTAAAGTGAACGTAAGATAGCGTCATACTTCTCTGGCACCCCGATCTTTAGCAAGCAACGCCATAAAGCAGGTCGACCATTGGAGTCGAATGCAACACGTATGTCTAGGAATGCAACAATAGCTGGCCTGTGATAAATGTGGCGATGCTCGACGTGTTGGTGGAGCGTGAAGATTTGATACATGCATCTGCAGCTAGGACGGAAACCAGTTTGTTCTTCACAGGAGGATGATTCAGGTATTGGGGATAGTCTACGAAGCAGAATGGATGCCAACAACTTGGAGGCAACCCGCGATGATTTTCACATAAAGTGTGAGCGCCTTTCTTGAAAATCGGGACAATAACTGATTCGCCCCAAATCTCTTCATGCCAGATTTTTGCGAACGAGGTCAGTTGGTTAATGATCACCAAGCCGCCATATCTGAACAGCTCCGGAGGAAGTCCGTCTCAGACGGCAGTCTTGAAGCGCTTCAAGCGTCGAATCTCGAGGCCGACATCCGCACCGCCGGGTGGATTCAGAGGGACGAGCCAGGGTATTGGTGTACTGCATGTACTGATGAACGATGGAGACCAGTGGAATTGCAAGTGAAAATGCTCGACCCAGCGGTTCAAACGCCTCTGTTGTTTGGTGATCGGTGAATCATCCACCTCGTAAATAACTTAACTGACACCATGGTTCCTGAGGCCAGTGGACCGAATGAGTTAGAAAAGCTTGCGAGTGCTGCTAGAGAGAGCAGCGGTCTCCATCTCTAAAGCACGCTCAGACCACCATGTCTCGCGATCCTTGCGTAGGCTTTGCTTGATCAGCCAATTGGCAGAATGGCGCCGCTCGTTGCAATCGGATTCCGCTGTGATATCTTTGCGGCGGTCAAAGAGCTTCAGAGATCGAGCAGAGATCTAAGCGTTTAAGGAGCGTCGAGCTAGGCCGCAGCGTGACTGTCCGGAAATGGATATCGCTTTCTGTGTACAAGTCCAGTGTTACTCAATGTCCTGTGGTGGATTGCAAATGAGCTCGTATGCCAGTGAAGACTGATAACTTACCTGAACAGAGGAACCAGTCAATCCGTTTATATCAATTTTACGGTGCTTCGTTATTCGAGACCCCACGAAACATGCAAATTTTCGCGCAGACCAGTGCAGGATCTGAGTCAAAGAAAGTGGACCAAAAGGACCTGCAGTCTAGTACGCTGCGACGCTATCTGAAACTGAGTATAATGTGATCAATTTGAGAACACGGTTGTATTGGCGGAGGGGGACCCCAAGTGGCGAACGCTTCTGCGTACGCCTGAAGTTAGTGCTCGAGAGAAACAGATGGTTGTCTTCACACAATGTGAGAAGCCTCTCTCCGTTATTAGGGCGGTCCTCATCGAGCGCGTGGCGTTCGTATAGTGACAGGCGGGCAAGCTGTGGGATGAGGTCGCGTGAATGTAAGAAGCAGAAACGGTAGCCGATGAGGAGGTTGTAGAACAGTGCATGATTTTGTGAGAGGGCGTGATAATACCCGGTTGTCCAAGCCAAAGTAGAGAGTCGACTTAGGGGACCCCACCCCTAGGCTTTGGCTAAATAACTTACGCGCATGACAGCGCAGCGAATGCAGAGAATCGCGCCCGTTGGGATTCGCTGACTGCGTATTCAGTTCATACGTCTTTTGTTTGGTAGATCACCAAACAGGGGCCCAATCCACCTCATGAAATCAGCACAATTGCTGGACTACCATGCCCCTCCCCCGAGGTGGAACATTGCCGCCGAACACGTCGCTGGAACGGGATACACCCGAAGCACCCAGCTGACACCAGGAGGAGGTAGTTCGACAAACCTGCAAGAAGAAGACAGAAGCATGAAGTAGGCACGAAAGTGGGAAATAATAATATCGTGATCGGCTGCGACTGCGATAACTATGGCGCAACATGTCGAAAGTACATCAAGGTATTCCGGGATGTTTACATAAATGGATCGCAGCATTGGAACTTAGATGACAGGAATGAATCGCAGATGCGTTGAGATCGTAGTAGCATGATTCGTGTCCTAATCGATGGATGTATCTCGGTTCGAATTGGTCTACAGCAGCATGAGGGGTTGATATTTGTGAGCAAAAGCGAGTATGGCTGCGTGAATACAACCGAGTAAACAATTGACAGGTGTGGAAGAAATGGATGGCAGTAGGATCGGCAGTGTATGGCGCACAGTGTCCAAGGGCGCAACAGAAAAGGCAGAAATTCGAGAAACAGACAACCTCACTGATTGAGGGAAGATGCACGCGATAATCATTCGCAATTAGACTAGCACACAAACCAACTGAGTGACATTGGGGAAAGCAAGAGTTTAAGGAAAATGGGAAAGCACGTGGCGTAGCTGTACGCTATCGGGAGCGTCCCAAGGTTGCGGATTCGAGAACGCCTTCTTTGTAAATAAGTGCGAATAAGTGTTGTAATGCCTGCTTTCCCACTGCTCTTTGCCATTGACAACATTTGTACTGCTGCGCTGGGGGACTGCGACTGTCTGACGACTCAGTCAAGCGCCCAGTGAAACGAAGGAATACAAAAGGCCGGAACCAGGTAGACAGAGAGTAGAGAGAGAGAGAGAGGACAGGTTAACTCTATTTATTGGTAAACGAAACATGCTAATTTTAGAGAACAAGGTCACTCACTCTTCTGCGTCTGGTTTTCAGCTAGTGTGAGTGAATTGCGCTCCACGGGTTGATCATATTGACGGAATAGTTCGATTAAATTGACGCAGGCTGGTATTTACTGGTCGATCAATTCTCACTCGATTCCCAAATCCGGCCAAAAGGTCAAAGGTCGTAGCACGCCCGTGCTGAAGACCTTTGCACGTAGCGGACAGCCTGCGTGCTCCACTTAGGTCTCTATTAATAAGTATCGTTTGAGATGAATAAGCAGTCGCGGACAATCAGCGGCAGCGTCTCAGAGCGTGGGGAGTTCTGGGCTGGTCACCTGGTCTCCATCAAATATCACAAGAGCTCGTACGGCATTGTGCCAAAGCCAATGTGACCGACTATAGGGTCACTGACCACTCCTGTAACCAGAGGTGAATATATACCGGAAAGCGGAAAAACAACCTTGTGGGTCACCGGTTTTTCTGTGGACTGCTACTGCACACAAAGTAGGTGAATGAGCCATCCGGATGTCAGCGGTCTTCGCTAATCACCCCGCTGCCTTGCGTGTTAGGTCTTGAAACCAAAGGCTCAGGGTGGGGTCCCTTAAGTCAACCCTCTTCCTCGGCCTGGGCAACCGGGGAGATCTATGCCTACACAAGCCACTAACCTTCTAAACTTTCCAAACCCTTCCACTGACCACTCGCTTTCCCCTTTTTGCTGTCAGCTATGTGTTGTAGCACAGCCAAATGTACATTGGTCACGTGTTTAATAATAATAATAATAATAATACCTGTTGTTACTTTAACCAAACGCGAAAAACATCGTGAATATCCGTTTCTGAAGAAAGGGAACTATGCAAAAATTCATGGACTCACCATCTAATTCGCCTTCGATGGCCTTCTTGACCACTTGTGCTAGTCCATTCAAAGTGTTGTCGAACTGTGGAAAAAATGGAAAGTGAATTCTAGGATCAACTGTCATCAAAAAGCGGCAAGAAAAGACAGAAAAAAAGTAAAAGTTAAAACGTTGTCACTCTACTGGAGTGTGCAGACGTGTAGCTCGAGAATTCTCCAAACATGGGAAGACAAAATAAATAGGCGAAATGTAGAAAACATCGAATGAAAAGAGCGGCACACGATGGCAAAAAAAAGATTCATAGGATTAGTCACGCAAGATAGACAATATTAGCAGGAATCTCAACGTGTTGATGCAACACAACATGAAAGCCAATTCATGAAAAGCGTAAGAAACAAACAACCCACGCTTTCAAATAATTTTTTAATGTCCCTGAGTTAGGCAGTCTATTGGTTACAACGAAGCAACACGGATCCAGGAACAGTAATGAGGCAAAGAAAACAAGACGGTAGGTAGTCGAGGAACATGTGAAAAATGTGACCAGGCCAACGAAGACGGCGCAGGCCAAAGTAACGTCTCAGTGTAGCCCAAGAACGATTATTGCCTAAGACCAAATGGGAAGTACAACAAAACTCGTTAGGCACTGGTAATCGATCCATCGACATCAAAAGCGTTTAGAAGGGACGAAAATTCTATTGTCTTTGTTGAACAATGATCACATCTCCGATTCATGCAGTAGTGACAGTCGCGCCGCAAAGCTGTGCGTTACGCGCTTAACCAATAAGCTCACAGTGTGCAGTATCCATGGATAATCAGGTCACAAAAGCCAAAGCGTACACAGGACCAAGCAACTCGATCATCAAACCGGCAACGACGAGACAACTAAGCAACTCGATTGACAAATTCCTGCAATTTCGCAGCAACAGTATGGAAAGGAAGAAACTGAGTCTCCTTTAACGCCATTACATCGACAAAGGGAGAAGACAAGGTGCAGTACGTAAACATTTTGAGTGTTCCCCTTGACGCAAACGCAGTAATGTTAGAAACATGCGCAGTTATGTAGCATAAAAACCTCGTGCCACGGACAAATATACGATGGGTCGGTGGAATCAGGTTCAAGGTAGACAACATCAGGCAATCCACCTAAGCGAGAAGACTTCATTAACAGTCTCGGACTGCAATTTGATAGTACTATCACGAATGAATTCAACAGAGTTAAATGGTGACGTCATAAGGTGTATGGTAATCGAGTGCCCAGTTTTTACACACTGAAAAACATTATTCGTAGAATTAGAACAAACTATAATGCAAGCGGTTTAGGCTAGCATAAAACACATTGGCTTATGCATTGCGCCCCTGTAGTAGAAGTACCCTAAGAGAACTGAGAGAAAACACCACCATCTCAGAAAACCATCGAAAAGCAATTAAAGGCGGTTCAGGTCAGTTTAGCAACTATGATCTGGATCGAGTTGCCACTACTCAGGTCGCCAAGATAACAATTCTTCAGATGGTGGAGAAAATGTGGTAGAATGTGACGGAACACAGAGAAAAGGAGGTTAAAAAAGAAGTGAGCAAAACTAATCGGGGCGGAAATTTAACAACAGATTGCAAGAAATCGAATCTAAGATCACCAATGAAGGATCGACTACGCCAAGTCTAATAGAGTCTCTAACCACTGGTGTGGTATATCTCAAGTCACCTCCAAAAATATAGTACGCACCAGCATGATCAGCTCTCTCCACCAAACTCTCCATACCTCTACGCAGCGTCATCGAATAGCTATCTCGAAGTTTTGCTCAACTTGGTGCAGCAACGTCACTTAATCCATACTGAGTAAAGAAAAATACAGGGGACATAATTTGGCCAATGTAAGCAGCTCATATTGAACGGAAACTCCAGTGAGGCACTAGGTCTCTGCCAAAAACCAGCTGATGGACCTCAGAATTGCTCACCCGGTGTTCTCGCCAGTTATGAACGATACTCAGTGATCAAAGACAATCAACAGTAACAGATATCCCACTGTCTCCATACATGACTGAGCAAGTGACATATCACACGGCCATGACTAATAGACGAAATAAATTGAAAGGTGGTGTAACAACCAGAAGTAACATAAGTAGCAATGTAAGTAAAGCGAGCAATCACTTCCAGTGGTTGTTTGCTGAGAGAAAAATACTGACGGAACTTGGATAGTGAATAGCACATGCCCAATCGTGAGGCATAGCGCGTAGTCTATTCCATATTGTATATGTAATACTAATTCCCACCCAAGGAGAGATATATCATCCGCCTATTCATGGTTTGTCAATTGGTCACCTAGTGGAAGTCACTCCTGAAGTGGCTGTTAGGATAGTCATTGATGACTATTCCGATGGCTACGTCGAAGAGAAAATTGATACAGGACAACCTTGGTGGGCCATATACTTATGGTGCGGAACTCCGGAGAGAGTTTGCGGTAGACTTTTATTCGATTTAGTGTAAAGAGAGTTCAAAAAAGCAATGAGTCTCACTAAGACAGCTTTGACCGACAAGCACCATAAGCAAAAGAGTCGACCGCAAGCGAATTTCTACTCCAATACTTAAGGTACGGTAAATAAGTGGTCAAAGTAATCACAACTAAGGTGGAAGCCAGGAATGTTCTCAATGATCCGGCACTCTCCAGAATCGGTGAGTCATTGCAAAATGACACCTGTAGGAACTTTGGAGGTAATGAAGAAAAGGTGATTTGCACGGAACCTTTCGTACCTCATTCTGAAAATAGACACATTAATCAAGAACTAGAGGATAAAGATAAGCCCTTCACTCATTAAAAACCACTTTCAAACACGCCTTGAAAAGGAGTGGATTAAATAACAGTGCGAAAAGACGATCAGTGTGGCAAAGTAAGCTTCACTCTCACCACAGTATATATATATATATATATATATATATGATGATAGTCATTGAATAATCAACAGTACCCATGCACATGAAAGCACAGAGTGGCATGTAGGTATTTATGCGGGGACTTCATGAATAGGCACCAGGAGAACCCAACATACCTCACTCATACGTTCGACAAATTCCAAGTTTTCACCAACGTTATCCAGCAAAATCCCCAGCTCAGTAGGTCGAAACTAAAAATAGAAAAAAGAACGATTGCTGCTAGCGTATAAGAGTGCGATCGTCTGCAGGTCAATGAGCCTAGCAAGTAGATTCACTTGCAAAATTTAAAAAAGAGTAGAATGGCACTCCTGCTCTCTCGGTACAACGTATAAGCACTGGTCTGATGGGATTTCTTAGCGCAATTAATGAATTAACAATGACGAGAGCGAGAAACAACGAGAATCGGTCTTCCACGATCTGAATGATGACATTACATAGTGGTTCGAAATCACAATGTGTGTCGTAATCCAAAACTACAGGATGAATAGACAGCCACAGTACGGAAAAGATCGAGCGCGATGCAAAATGGATAAGGAGAAAAAACGAATGATTTACTGACGAGGTAAAGAGGGCTAAATTAAGTTGTTTGTATATTCTGCGCTCCATGGTTCTATTGTGCGGAGGAGGAAATTAAAGAAAGAGCGCCATGTGGCGTTACATTCGCCAACAACCAACCGTTGTAACATAAAGCACGCATGATCAATTGCGATAAAGGCTCACGGTGAGTAAAAAAAACACGGAAAAGAGCGCGTTTCAGCCGACAAAATGCGCCCAAGTTTATTGGCACAACGACGTGGCAACATCAGTGCATGGATTGAGGCCATGTTAAAAAGTAACAGTGGATGGGAGGAAGGTGCACCGATTGTCGATACAAACAATACATCTTCTAAAGAAAAATATATAGGAGGTTGACAGTCAGGGTAAGCCGGGAATACCAGGAGCATAGGTCAATGAGGCATGAAATAGTATAGACAGAGGAAAATTTGGAGACTTAGCAGTCGCTGTTATCATTTATTGTGACCGAGCTATAAGCGATACCGTCCGAGTGGCAAATAAGGAGAACGACTAAGGGATGTGTTGGAGGATGCAACAAGAGTGCAGAATGATAAGAGAGCCTTCGATCGAAACGAAGAAAGAGTATGTTAAGTGCATAAGGGGGAAGAAAGCCCAAGTTGACCTTTTCTGTCAGATCACCGAGGGTAAAGAGACGAAACAATGATAAAAGTAGTAGAACCGAAAAAATGGGTGCTTCTTATATATGCAGGATTGAGACACCTCACCAATAATCCTGAGAGTGATACCAATTAGACTGTGGAAAAACGAAAAAGAAGTATAAATTGTAACATGATTGAGAAACACAAGATAAACACTTGCCGCATAGTGAACAAAGTCAGAGAAGACGAAAAATACGAAGTGCGCGCTGTCCTGCTGGGAGGAACCAGAAACAACTGTCAAGTAATGAACTCACCTGGTTCACATCATAGCGGACTACCAGCTTTGTTTGGGCCAAATGCATCAGCCTATTGCACTTGAGAAGCAGTTCGTATGGACAGTTGGAATCGAGAGCATCCGTTAGCTGTTGACGGATATCGGGCAATCGTTGCACCAAGTTACTCAAAGAGGTGTTGAAACTCCTGAGTAGCCGCTCGGATTCCGAGTAGGGTGAAAATTCACGAAGGACTGTTGGGAAAAAGATGAAAACACAAGACCTTCTAAGCTGACATAACCTAACCTCAAAAGCAGCAAGCCACCTCGAAGGGTGTGCAGTACCACGGAAGAGTGGCCTGTCGTGAAGTGAATATCTACGACAAAGGTCAAAAATACCCCAGTCGCAGGTACAAATGGATATGAGGCAATCTAAAACAGTGACGAAGTTTGTATAATAGCAACAATATCCATGAATCAATTGGGAGGCGACTGACCGATAGTGGAAGTAGGGATATATATATATATATATATATATATATATATATATATATATATATATATATATATATATATATATATATATATATATATATATATATATATATATATATATATATATATATATATATATATATATATATATATATATATATATATATATATATATATATATAGTCGGTGTGTGATGGAGGCACCAGGTTCTCAACGATGAAGTTCGGTGTCGCCTCGTGGGCAACGGGCCTTCCGCTTGATCGCCTTATCGCAATGCGTCTATTGAGGCGGCTTGGCCACATTCTACATGCTATTGATAACCATGCTGCGCCTTATTTGTTCGCAAGGGATTGAATTTGAAGAGAACGCGTGAAGTTCAGCCAACTACTTGGCGGCAAACCATGAAATCCCTGACCTGTCTCGCAATCGTTGGCCCTGTATGCCTTCCTGGTTAGGGGCCCAAGGATGAGGACGGAAAATTGCTCGACACATTTGATGATATGACGCGAAATCGGAATCAAAAGATACACTGTAGATCTAAATGTTTTAAACAATGTGATTAGAACTATGTCAAGTGAAATGACAGAAAAGAACAAAATGACGTTTAAAAACAAACAATAAGAGCCTAGAAGCGCAAAATATTTATTGGCTGTTCCTGACATTTGTACAGCTTTTTAAAATAATTTTGTTCCCTTTGGTTTCTTGATGACCCGATGTCTTTATAGACTGATTCATATATATATATATATATATATATATATATATATATATATATATATATATATATCCGCCGCAAACATGTATTGTCGAGGGCCGTAAGCCTAGACATGTCATCCACAGGAATCGGCCAGCACTCACTTCAGTATAACAGGACCGCGCGAACATAAGCATTGTAGATCCTCCCCTTAAAGGAGAGAGATATGTCCCGACGACGCCACAAATGAATAAAGTTGGTAAATGCCGACCGGGCTTTGGCGATGTAAAGGGATACCTCATTCTCAGTAGTGCCATCAGCAGAAATACAGCTTTCGAGGTAGACAAAGTTGTCCACAAGCTCTACCTGTGTTCCTTCAATGGTAAATGAGGGGGCGGACGACTCCAAGTCCCAGCAGTTTACGCTTTAGGGTTGAAGCGCATGCCATAGTTGGACGATTCAATCGCCAGACCGTTCAAAAGGAACTGTACACTCTGTGAACCGTCACTGAGCAGAGCGATATCATCAGCATAATCCAAGTCGGTCATGCGATTGCCAGGAAGAAGCTCAACACCAGACATTTGAGAGCCTTCGAGAGATCTCAACAGGACGTTCTCAATTGCAAAATTGAAGAGGAATGGAGACAAAGGGCAGTACTGTCGCACACCATTAGAAATAGTGAAGGGTGAGGAAAGCTTGTCATAAACCTTCACTCAGCTTGACAATTGGAAGTAAAGTGCGCGAATGATTGGAGTGTACATTTCCGGGACTCCATATTTTTGGGAAACTTATATAAAGCAAGTCGATCCACCGAGTCAAATGTAGCTCGAATCATGTCCAGGAAGACGACAATGGTTAGCCTGTGGTAGGTCTGGTGGGGTTCAAACATTTAGCGTAGTGTGAAAATCTGGTACACGCAACCTTGACCGGAGTGAAAGCCGGTTTGTTCTTCGCGATAAAGCAACTCGCGGATCGGGGATAGTCTATGGAGCAGAGTGAATGCCAGCAGTTTGGAAGCAACCGGCATGAGACTGATTCCCCTTTGATTAGCGCAGGATGTGCTAGCACCTTTCCTGAAAACAGGGACAATTACTGACTCGCCTCAGGAGGATGGAATCTTCTCTTCGTGCCAGCTGTTGGAAAACAGCGACGTAAAATGCTTGACAAGTGCTGGGCCGCTAAAGTTGAACATCTCCGTAGGAATTTTATCCGAGCAGGGAGACTTGAAGTATCGAATCTCTACAAAAACCACAGCTCCGTTAGGTGGCTCCAATGGAACGACCCAAGACATGCAACTGGATGTACTTGGTATACAAGCGGACAATGAATGATGATGGAATTAAGAGTGAAGATGTTGGGCCGAACGCTCTGTCACCTTGCAGGTTAGTGATCTGTGACCCATCCGCTTCATAGATAGTCTCGCTGACACGAGGAAATCTGGGGCCAGTGAATCGAGTGAGCTGGAGGAGCCTGCGGAAATTGCCAGAGAGAGAGAGCAGCGGTCATCTCGGAGGCGCGCTGAGACACCAAGTTTCGCGGTCAGTATACAAGCTTTGCATGAGTTGCCGATTGAGAGTTTGGTGCATAGAATTATGAACTGACTCTGGTGGCACATTTCGACGGCGGTAAAACAATTCCAACGAGCAAGCAGAGATCTAACTTTTCAAAGGGAGTTGAGTAAGACCACAAAGCAGTTTACTAGAGGAAAGCATCGTTTCCTGCAAACAAGTCAAATGTTACTCAACATCCTGGAGTGGACTACAGGGAGCTGCATCCGACAGTGCAGCTTGGTAGCTCAGTTGGACAGAGGGGTCAACTAACCTGTTTATGTCAATATTACGGTGCAATTGTTCCCGGAGCCAACCGAAGCGCAAGCAGATATTCGCATAAACCAGCACGTGAGCTGAGCCGAGGTCAAGTGACCAGAATGACCTGAAATCCTGTATACAACCTCACCAACGGAAACTAATTACGATATGATCTGAGACCAGAATCGTGTTGAAGACGGAGAGCGTCAGGTTGCTGAACGCCTGTTGTTATGATTTTGTTCTGTTCTCCGAGCTGAACAGTTTCGTTGCAAACGTTTCATCATCAATCGTGGGGACTTCTTCAGTGCGTTATAAGCAAACTCGGAGAACAGAACAAAATCTGAACAGATCACCCGAGCTACAAGTATTCCGATTTATTGCCTCTTGTTATGCCTGCAATAGATGCTGGACAGAAACAGGTGGTTGTCCTCCCAGAACGTGAGAAGCCGATCTCCATGATCTGAGTGTTTCTCGTCAAGTGCGTGCTGACCTCTAAAGTGTCGTTCATGTGAAAGCAGGTAACAGACAATCGCATTAAAATCGCCATCAAGTAAAACGACATCCGACCTGTTCAGTTTACTTAGAAGAATGTGAAGGTCGTGATAAAAATCGGCTTTGACAGACTCGCTGCTGCAGTCAGTTAGAGCGTAGGCAGAAACGAGGGACGAGTTGCGTGTCTCCTTGTGATGCCTGTTGATACAGCATGATCTCTGAAGAGGAACTGCGAATAGCCGACCGTTAACTGGGAACCAGACGAGTAACGTAGCTTCTGCTTTCTTACTTAGTGTTATCCCAACGCAAACCAAACCTGCTGAAGCTTCTACTGCGTCAGTGTATAGACGCATGTGATATGCGATTCTACGATCAGAAGGGGACGTCAGCCAGTGTACACTGCTGGAATCCTGTAACCAGGTTTTGGAAACACAGCAAACGTCAATGGCGAGAGACTCCAGCGTGTGCGCCAGGCCGGCCTGTTGACCAATTTGCATAAGTGTACGTAAGTTGAAGCAGGCCAATCGGAACATAGATTGAGGTCAAAGTATGGCCGTTGATTGAGCCTGTCGGGTATTGGCAAAACCGGGATCGAAGGCGATATCGACGGTGAGATTGACAACAAATGCGGTGTCGGCATAGAATGGAGGCTGGCTGTCGACAAAAGCAGCAGTCGAGGAAGCGTAAAAGGAAGGTAAAGCCATGGTTTTCTCGACGGGCATGATGCTACCCGGTTACTTAGGCCGAGGGTGACAGCTTACTTAGAGGACTCTGCCCGGAGCCTTTGACTCAATAACCTACGGCAAGGCAGCGGGGCAGAGTCAAGAAATTGCGTCCACTGGGAGTCGGTGACCGATCGCTCGGTTCAAGCGCCTTTTGTTTGACGATCTGCCAAACTGGGGCCCAATCCACCCAGAAATTCAGCCTCCAACTGAGAAAGTACAATGCTTTGCTGAAGCAATGCAAAAGAGCGGTGAGGTTATTTAGTGAAGGCTGTACCCCAGCTGTGTGCTTCTGACCGCGTCTTAAGGTTGCGCGCTTTCACACTTAGAGCGAGTCAATGAGAGAAGGTGGAAACGGATGCTCAATGGGGTTTCCGTGCCGTCGCCTTCCCCCACGGTCAATGGTAGTTCAGACTTAGTTGATAGCGACCAAGATCACCGTCTAGTGTTGACCTGCATCGCTCGAGTTTGCTCAGTATTAACTGTATTAGTTCCTCAAATCTGGCATTGTTCGCGTCTTCGCGTACAGAATAGTGTGTAGCACGAGGTGGGGAACACGGTGACACTGATACAAAACCGAAAATAGGCGGTTCGCTAACTTGGATTCATCGGGAGCAAGTGTGGATCCAATGTTCGTTTGAAAGTCAAGTCGCAGATAACCCGTCGCTGCAGCATGACAATGATAAACATTGACTTTGGCAGTGAATCCATGACACTAGGCAAGACACCGCGTCCCGCTTACATAGTTGTTGATTCATGAAGCGTATGTAGCATAATAGTTGCAGATACAACCCAAGGTCTCGGACAGGTAAAAAAAAGTAGATAGACTGGGTGCTTCACAAAAAGATCCAACCAACAGTCCACCGTGTTCAGTGTGTCCATGAGGCATATGGCGGAGCCACAGGTAAACGTTACATGAAAGTTGCCGTGCTTACGGATAGTAGTTTCGATGCAACCATACAGGAGTTTTGCCTTCGTGTCGCGTAAAATAGTGCGTGAACGTTTTGATGATAGCGGGAACTTGAATGCATAAATGGTCACAACGAGTAGAGGCTAGCTTGGCCAAGCAATCGCTATTGCTCAGTTCCCTTGGATGTTAACTAAACCGCTTCAGCATCGAAGTGCCACATGGCGAATAAACTCTCAGGATGAGATCTAGACCGAGATAATCGACCATGTGGTACAATAGTTGTGGTGCTTACCACATTCAACTAAGCAGCAGCATGAGAGATGATGAAGACGAACAGCCAGGCCAAAGTAAGGAACTGTTAGTCCGATCAAATCACCCTCCAAATCGGACCACTTGCCTGCATTAGCCAAGTGTAATTCCGTAACAGATAGGAATGGAAGTTCCAGAAACCCATTGCAACTTAACTCTTCTTGTCCAACCGCAAAGTTGTCATATTCAGACTACTGTATGGTACACTAAAAGGCGTCGCCATGATGTAATTCTTTGGTGGATAGGGCTTTCGAACGCTGGGTTGCCGCACCTCACAGCAGTCTGATCGACAAATATGCCAACGAGAAGCAGTGTCTCAACTCATGATATGAGATACAGTGGGGTAAAAGACGTCACCGAAATGGAACGTATGGCCAATTTCAGTAACGCGATTAATCAGTCGCACCACAGTTAGACAATTTTGCAAATTGGTTCAGTAAATGTATAGGGGTAGGGAGTAACTCCACTGACTACGAAACAGGAGTATACATGGAACAGAATAGCCCGTAAAGTAAAACAATGTCACAAAAAGTGACATAAGTGTCTACATTGCTTTGGGGTGCGCGAACTGCCGGTTGGTCTATAGAAATCACAAATCTGTATGAAGTGAAAGTGCTATGAGAGGTTTGAGGAACAGGACCCAATGTATCGATACCTGGATCTCAAATCGATTAAAACCTATCCTCCCACTAGAAATGGAACAAAAAGCCGATGAGAAAAGAGTATTCGCGGAGTTCACCAGGAAACCACAAAGGTAAGAATTTCCATCGATGAAAATGCTAACTTACTGTAAACCGAACAGTAACTAACATCATACTTTCTGAGTCACTGCATAGGTAAATTGCAGTGAGCCAGTGAATGAAGCAACTGGTAAGGAAGGATTTGGTAAATAGTTGGAGTTAATCCATATGGTGGAAGAATAACAGCATCAAGCTGAGGAATGTTAGAAGCGAAGTACTGAAAAGATCTGCCAGTGCCCTGCTACATAGGAAGCAAGTCCAACTTCAAAAATAGTAGGTCTCAGTACAGGCCGCTTTCAGTAGTAATTGTAAGTGCCTTGAAAACGGTTTTCCAAGGAATTCGGGCTTGGAATACATTAAATTTGCCGTCGGATTTGTCGGAAATGATAAATGAAAATGATAGCAGCGCATGCGGAGAGGTAAGCCAAAGAATAATGAAAGGCCATAATATTTGAACGAAAAATCGCAATAATTTTAATTTGTAAGCACTTATACCTCAACTAGATGACAATTTTTGCGATCAACCAGTTTCGTTCGTTATATACCAATGTGTATGTAGCTAATCAAGCAAGTCTCCGAAAAACTCCGATTGTGTCCACATAACGCTTGTCATCAGAAAGAGCGTATAAGATAAAAGAGATGACAGAAGAATAATTCTGCGCTTTACATGAAGTTTGTTGTTTTCAAATACCTGAGGACACAGATATTCGTGAGAGAACACTTGTTCACCAATCCTATTTCTATCCACCGAATGACCAACATAAGACATGATAAAATATGGTTGTTTGTATTCGACCGGGTGGTATAGTGTCAAATTGACAGAGAAGAGTAAAGAACGGTGGGTGATCGCTGAATCCAAGTAGGCCATTTATCTTGCAGTCGAAAATCAGTGTCAAATCACGTCCGCGCAGCGATGTCTGAAGTGTCGCAAGCCGGGTCGCAAAGAAAAGCGCATCGTCACCCCATTGTTTTCTGCAAGCATGCTGCAATGGAGTCAGAAAATGTCTGCAGAATAAAGATCACAGTTCCACCTTGTTAGTGCCAAACTCGAGAATGGTGCGAATACGTTCAGATTTCTTACCACGATTGTCATTCAGTCACAAATGCGTGGTCAAGCCAGTCCTACTTCGGTGGCAACAGTTTGGCCAGAGAAAGTCTAGAAGAGGATAGACGAAGGACCAACACTCGAGACAACTGACACATGGGTGAGGTCAGCTGAGGAGACCGCCCTTCCGATTAAGTTCTGGAAATACCAGTCCGAAAAGGTTTTGTTAAATAACAAAACAAGGTAAGCTATAAATAGTCGTTTATAAGTGTACCGGAAGAAACCCTGGAAGACATTCGAATCTGGTTGTAACCAAGTACGCAGCGTCAGCGCGAACTAACCGGAGTCTCTGAGAAGAGTTGCAACGGTTGCCAAAAGAAGCTCCGGGTTACGCACGAAAACAAACGGGACACTTTTCTTCCCTCTGAATGAGAAGTGGGACGTTCGTGCAAATCAGCCGGTTTCGAAGGAAGTGGAATCGATCACTGATCAAAAAGCTTCGAAATAATCATTTCCATGCTGCATCGAACAATGCAGTGACTCATAATGGGTAGCCCAAAGTGCAAGAGTCAATAAAATGAATAGATGAAATAATGATTGCGCAAAATAGTACTTTGAAGTTTTATGGGAAACCATTAGTACTCTCAACCATAGATGATAACTCGTCGACGTAGACAGACGGTTACACCTGATGTGTCCAACTGACCGTGTGCATCGGTTTCTTGGGACCATCCGTTCACTCTAATTGTGTGACTTTGTCTCATTGACAATTGGCAAACATCAAGGAATTACCATCTGCATAATCTATCACATATACCTTTCATCCTGTGGACCATATCAATGTCTGTATCGTGAGACTCCGCAAGCGAACACACGTGATATGACAAAATCGAGTCGAAATAGGGTTGGAAACGACTGTGGGGAAGCCATTTGTCGGCAGAAAGTTATCCATCAACCCCGTAGATAATAACGGGACATGTGGCGTTCGGATACAGAGTACATAAAATGCCTGTCTATGGCATAAGAAGACTAATTGTGACAAGCACAGCGAACGAAGTGGACGATCGAGGAATGTAGCTATAGTCGGTCTGCGGCACATATGGCGCTGTTGTATTGTTTGTGCCAGAGACATATACGACCTGGTATCTTATTCTCGATTTCCGTCCCGTATACAGCGAATACAGAGGCAATCAAAGTTGACGAAATCGGTGTTGACCGCACATTCTTGTGGTTAGCATAGACATTTCGATCGGTCTTCAAGAATAATGTCACCATTATCGACTTATACCACGATCTTTTAATACAGAGGACGAGAGGGAATCCGGACTAGTGGCGCGGAAACGATTGAACACGGTGATTACACATCAAATTCCAGATTCCGTTTGCACCTCTAAATTCACTGGAGCACGATGAGTCTCAGGGGCATGCGGTTGATGTAACTGATCCTGAAGATACTCTGCGGATGAGGCAAATGGGGCTTCTTATCGTGAATTAGAACGCTTATGTAGTCACTGAAAGTCGCATTGACGCAAGAAGAGAAAAACCTTTCCAATTGTCCCATCAATGGCGATGTGTGAGTCATCGTATGACACCTATTCATAAAATTGGCTAGTATATGGTGTTTCCAAACGGAGAATATTCTTGCTCTACCTAGTAGGTCAGTCGCACATTTAGATGCGTGTGAGGGGCGCTTCAACTCATTAGAACCTCTGCTAAACCAACGCCCAAAGTGGATGAAACTAGGCAAGTAGCGACTGAGACATCAGTTGGTGTTGAGATCTAAGTAGATGGTATCACAAGTCGCGAGAAGTATATATGCACAACTGGACTACGAGATTTGGAGAACTTACCTGCTTGAAGGTCCTTGATTGGTCTCGACACATGATTGGCACTGGATCTCCGAATAAATGCAACCTGGAACTCCAGTAGACCATCTGCGCGTGAAAAAGCCCACAAATAGTGAAATGTATAAGAGGACAGATGGAGGGGAAATATGGGAGAGAATAAAAGATTGCTATACGGAGTGAATGTCCCTGACTCGCATTCAGTACAACTTATCGCAGCTGGAAAAGATATTTCGTTTGCTTATTTTTTAAGAGGTGTAGGCAAACGCGACAATGTCGATGAGAGGCGTACCGTTTACGCGCGTTCATCAACCAGGAGATGGTACACAAGTGTGACAACCCCGAGATAAAGATAGCAACGTGATTCGATGTTTATGTCGAGAACAAGGAGCCACCCATGACGATAGAAGACAGACGTTGGATAGAACGCTCAATGTGAGGAGGTACAATAAAAATCGGTTGTGCATCGCGTGTCTGGAAAAGCGACTCTAACAGTTACCAATCAGGTAGTAAGGACGTAAACGTGAGTACTAAGACAATAAGAGGTTGACAAAGAAGTTACGCGTCCGCCTATCTTGCGGCTGATAGTATGACGCGATCGGCAAACGTAGTCTTGTCAGCATTAGTAACAGAGTGTAAGACAAAGGGAATAGAGGCGGTAGCATTCAGTGCGAATCATCATCATCATCACCCATCATCATTATGCACATTAGCTAGAGATGTAAAACATCTCAGCTGCTGTGCTGCAATATATAAAAGAAAAAATACAACAGATGCACGCCGGATGAGCTATAAGTAACGGTTAGGCATCGTTCAGGAAAGCTAACAGTCAGCTACTATGCAACATAAACAAGTTATTACGCAAAATAATATAATGCTAATAAGTGAGATGGTGGTTGGAAAGGAGACCAGGATGGATGGGATGGGCCAAAGAAACTCACAACATGAACGCCATTGAGGTCAGCTCCTAGCCATGTCAGCAAGTGTATCCAGCCAAAGGTGTTCATCTTCCTTCGGACTTCAGCCCGGCAGTCGTCATACACCAACCGACGCTAGGTTCGAAGTGAGGACCTTCATTCCTCTAGACTAAATCATCCCCTAGCCACCTCTCCTTTTCTTCCATCCACACCCCCGGCGCGTAAACAACGTAAGTCGCGGGAGCCGCTGGGCTAGCGTGTGTAGCACGTGGACCAGCCATCGGAGCCTGGTGCATGAAATAACGGTGCTGAGCAGTTCAGTTCCTTTTCCTGTGCCGTAAACAAAGCGTCGAACACGCTCGGTGCTCACTCGGTAGTCGAACGTAACTAACCTCACTGTGTCGGCTGATCTAAGGGGCCAGGTTTCACAACCTAACAGTAGGGTCGAGTGGGTGTTAAAACTAGGAGGTAAAAGCCTACCAAAGTAAGGTGAGAGAAGGCCGTGAATTAGGGGGTTGAAAACGGGGGATAAAAGTGAAGCTGGGACGGGACAATAAGGGTGAAAGAGCGTAAGAGTGGGAATAAGAAAATGAAAAGGCTTGAGCAGTAGCATCTAAACCCCCATCCACCCTGCTCGATGCAGCAGATAGGGCACCGCGGATTATCCTCTGTGACGATCAGAGCATCAGGAAATTGTTTGACGAATGATTCATAGTATTGTGTGGACAGGATACTGTCAGGTTGCCCAGGCCTTGGGTTCAAAAATCGTACTCCAAGGCAGCGTGGTTTTGGCACTGGACTACAGAGAGCCCGTTTTAAGGAATAAGAAGCCACCCTTATTCCAACTATCAACCTGGAAGATCAGGAGGCTGAGTTTGTCTGGCCTCTAACCAATAACCAATCTGGTATGAGTGGCTCTGAAGATGCAAAAAAGCACCACCCAGCATAGATCAATGGATCTCTGAGGCACTCAAGCCATCGCAACACGGTAAGGTCGAGTCTCAGTGCGAAAGATGATAACAGAGGGCCCGAGTATGGGAAGTCGGTGAGAAGAACCATTCCGCTCTTGGGATAGTCGATGAAAAAATTCCTGAAAGCCAACAGTGAGCTGCCACAGATACTGTAGTCGCACAAGCAAGCGCCGATGGTGTCCGCACGTAATCAGTAGATATTCAACAAGAATACAGAATGAGTCGTTGGATTTGAGGGACAAACAAGATGGGAGCTGCAGTACAAGCTTCAGTGGGGAGAAGAAAGGAGTGGGTGTGGAATCGATCTGTCGGATGCTTTGGATAAACGTGCAGATGTGGAAGGTAAGTCGAAGGGGGAATCCGGCGAACCGTTCGATCCATTTGACAAAGTAGTGCCCGACAAAGTGGAGCAGGTATGCAAGGAGCAAGCTAAGAAAATAATACGATGAAAAGAGCCGCGTTACAGCGTGACGCAGCAAGCCTTCAAACCTGCTTAGCGTGACAAATCGACTGTGGAGGGGCGCAACAAATGACCAAATACTATCTATGGGCTGCACGCCTCAGGGCGTGTGTGTTCGAAAGTGATGAGAAGATTGAAAAAACGCGGAGGTAGCCAGCCTGCGAGAGATGAGGCGGCCAAAATAAAATTGATTCAACGCCTATGGCCCCTAGGAAAACAAAAGTGTGGGAACAACCAGGAGTCAAGTAAATATGGGTCGGTTGAGAACGTAAAAACGGGGGTTGAAAAGTAAACTTTGATGGCTAAAGGTTAAAGAATGCAAGAGGGAAACAGTCGTAGTGATTACGTCGCAGGTTGTGTGCTGTAAAAATTAAAGGGTGCAGTGATGAGTGAGTATTACTAACTGAAAAATTGGAGCAAATGGACGAAAGCGTCTTGATAATGAGGAGTGGATGAAGTGAAAAGGAGAAACTAAAGACAGGGCAATGTGGAGGAATGGGCGTGAGAACGAACATATAAATTATAACATGAGTATGGATAATTGGACAACAAATAATCGGAATAAAGATTCCTGGCATATCCGGTGCCAAGAAAATATGCTATTGAAATGCAAAAATGCGAGACGGAGATAGAAATAATTTTAAAGAGATACACGGCTAATCCGACTTTGGTACCGGCAAGACAACATGTTGGTTAAAACAGTCGGTCACGTGTATAGACCTCGGAAACAGTTGGTCATCTCGCTGCGTGGTGCAGAGCGAACATTATAAAATACTTGTGTAAAGCTAAATGTAGAAAGAGCTGTCCCAAATCAGCCGCAACATTACTGGTAACAGTTGGAGATGAAGAGAGTATGGCAACGTCGCCAAGTCCAATAAATAGAAGCAGAGCGGGTGATTAGATAACTTTACAAAAACAGACGACGAAAAGCTACGGAATAAAGATGGACCGTTTGCAGTACAGATTTGAGTCGAAGTCATTAATTACAGCTAGGTCGAGTACCTGACAATAATGGAGATCATGGAGCTATAGGCTTATAGAGTTACAAGCGGATGGACAGATAGGTCAACAGGAAAACGTCATGGTGTGATGCAATCAGTGATGACACACAATAAGGAAACTAACCATCTATTGTCTTCATAAATTTAGCTTTGTGTTCATCGAGATTGACTGAGGAAGTATTAACCGCCAACTGAAAAGAAAAGTACCCAATTAAAACTATGGAAGGAACGAGATAAGCGGATAAAAATAAAATCAACCAAGGGCGATAAAGTTAGTTTGGTTAGCAATGAATGACAGAGGAATGTGCAATGGATTGATCGAAAAGGATAAGTATGTGTCGCGGTTGGTGTTCGCGTAACGGTGTCGGTATGGAATCGAGACAAATCTGTTCCAGTTAATACACTTGCAATACCATGCGATGTAGGACAAATGCATCCTATAGGAGAAGTATGGAGATTGGTGTTCGCAGTTCCGTTGTCATGTCGAATAGGAAAAACCGATGTGTGGAGGGTTTCCGTGTGGCGCTCTCGCATCTCTGCGCTCCACGACCGACGGTTTCGTCCTCGTTTGGACTCATCAGATTGAGGTAGCTGAGCCAATGCACTTGAAAGAGGCAGAAATGTATGCAAACTGGAGACGAAGGCCAAGGAAAAGCGATGAGCACACGACATATCCTCAGAAAATACTGAGCCCAGCAGATATTGCAATGGCCGATCTCACATATTAATTGCGACTTATACATGTCAATGGAGAAGTGGCGAGGTGAATTTCGGCTAAAACACTTCATGAGAGTTTTGGGATTATAATAAACAACAAAAATGTATCGTCAGCTGTATGTTGGAATGGCGCTTAGCTGACGCGCGACTACCACCAGTCGCGCGTGAGCAGAGTACATCGCGAGGACGCTCGCCCCTACGCGGATTTGGACCAGTGGCCTTATGATTGCAAACCAGGCGTGCAGATCACTTGGGCACCAACCGACTTTAGGTTTATAAACATGGAGTGAACAGCATAAGATTTGACCTTAACATAGGACGATGACATGCGCAAAGACGCAACGCACTTGGCCATGAATCACGCCAATAATAATAACAAGTATAATAATAATAATAGTAATAATAATAATAAGCCCACGCTCATCGGTCGTCGCTCAGTGGCATTAGGAAATGGGTCGCCTTATATGCTGCATACAGCAGGGTGGATAAGCGAAAACATGCTACTGCTAGCGCCTCGCTTCTTTCGTCTTCCCTTGTATATAATCTCCTCGTCCTCATTCCACTTAACCCGCTACTTCCTACAATAAAGAGCAACATTCGTGCGGTTGTTCGTCACAATAATCATATGCTTCCGCGCAAAGCACACATCGGCTGCTGGAACGTACGCACACTGTTCGACCGGAACACGAGTGAGCGCCCAGAGCGACGCACTGCACTACATGCAATGGAACTTGTTTGCTACGGGACTGATATTGCCTCATGCAGCGAAACACAAAACACCGACTAAGGTAAAATTCATGAGACTTGTGCTGGTTGCATATTCTACTGGGTGTGAAATGTCATCACAGCACCCCGTGTAAAAGGAGTCGGATTTGCGCTATCCGACTGCCTAAATAGCCAACTGATGGCATAGCCGATTGGCATCAACGCACGACTGATGACTGCGCCTGCTACTTGGGTGAAGAAAATTTGCAACTTTTATTGGCACATATGGTCCCATGTGTTATCGAAATAAGAAAAGGGATCAGAGTTACACTCAGTTGTCCTCCGTGATATTGTCCGTGCGGACGAGCGACCGGCTATTCCTAATGGGTAACTTCAACGAGCGCGTTGGGCGTGATGTAGTATTGCGAACAGACATCATCAGTCTGTACGGTCCTGGCAAAGTCAATGGGAACGGCGACCGGCTGATCTCATTTCGCACCACTCACAACCTGACGATCCCAAACACCCAGTTTGCACTGGGTGCGAGTGATATAACAAGTTGGAGGCACCTACGGAGTGGTCAGGCTCCCCTGCTCGATTATGTTATCGTACGCCATAGTAAGATGCGTGAAGTGCGTATGACACATGTGCTGCGTGGAGCTGAGTGTAGCATTGATCACAAGCGAATCGAATGGTAGATATGTTTTAGTAAATCTATGTAGTGCTCGCCCACCGTGAATCTGCACGAAGTTAATGTTTTCCCTAGGTACTGTTGGGAAAAGAGTGGAACTGGAAAAGGCGATGGCAATCAGCTTTCGCGTTGTCGACTACATCGCATCAGTCAGAGAGCTGTGGCACCACATTCGCTGCTGCTGCAGGGGAAACAATCGGGTGCGCAAATTGTAAGCCGCCCGATTGGTTTGATGATAAGTGTGACTTGGCGTATTGGTGTCGTAAAAGAAGGCAGCATTCACTGCACATGTGGCGGACCCTGCCGATGCCGAGAAGAAGAGTCATTTTCGCCAACTTCGACGGCGACTGACTCGAAAGTTCCGCCGCATCAAAAATGCATGATAGACGGAGAAAGCGTACATGGAGTGCTAAGCCGAACGCCGCCAACATAAGGAATTCTTTGACTCCTTGAAAAGGGTGTATGGACCTACGTAGCAGCCGCTGAGGACACTAGTGGATGCTAGTTTAGGCGATGCCTGCACACAGATTGCAGACATAATACAGGTCTAGCGAAAGCATTTCGACTGTCTCTTGAACAACCGTTCAGAGATTCACTGGCCTACATTGCACGGGTTACAACAACACGAAATGTAGACGTGTCTTGAGGACACACCGACAAGGCATGTGATGCAGAGAGCGCTTGCTCAGCTGCAAAATGGAAAATATGTCGGAGCCGACAGGATATCGCCAGAAGTGGTGAAACACGGCCGGCCCGCGTCGATACATACGCTGCACCAGTTGGTGCAATGCGTATGGATTAAGCAAGAAGAGCCCCTAGAGTTGAAAGATGCATTTGTGCTCCCACTTTACAAGGGCAAAGGAAGCAAGCAATATGCCATGAATTATCGTAGTATCAACGTGCCGAGTTGTGTGGGCAACCTACTTGGCCGAAACCTACCTAACCGTCTCGTTGGTCAGGTTGTGGAACTGAACGTGGCGGAAGAGCAAGGTGGATTCCGTTCGTGTAGCAACATTATCGATATGGCGTTTGCGGTTCGTCAATTGTAGGAAAAGTGTAAAGAGCGACATCAGCCGTTGTACTCGCTGTTTGTTCATAACACCAAAGCATTTGATACAGTGAAACGTGAGACATTGTGGCTAGCGTTAGGCAAGTTTGGCTGTTCAAGTAATTTTGTAAATATAATTGAATGTCTGCATAGTGGTATGTGGGCGAGGGTGCAGCTGTGTGGACAAACCTCTGATGACTTTGCATTTGTCCCCGGTGTGAAGCAAAGCTATGTCTTAGCTATGGGTCTGTTTAGTATTTACCTAAACCCTATGATGCATTGTGGTTTTGATGCTATTTGTGATTACAGTGTCTGTGTGAAGCAACGTATTGATGGCGCGTTGTAGAGTGGGTGGGCGAGAAACGTCACATCGCTGATAAACGTAAGGGGGAAGATGACCAAGAACACTTAGGGTGGAAACACACAAGAGATCATGACAATGGATGACAAAGTAAAGAAGTTTTCTAGGAAGCAGCAGCCTGGAAGAACGGTGGTCGTATAGCGTATGTGAAGAATAAAAGTTGCAACAAAACACAATGTGAGTGGCGATCCCTGCCTTATGAAGGAAGTTAATGAAAACTGCACCAGTAAAGAAAACCTGAAAAATTAAAGAGAATAAGGTCCGGATGAATAATTAAGACAATAGATGATTATGCGATTCTGATAATGCGAAACCATGCCAGGGTTTCTTGATCGGATGGATCGCAGTACAGGCCCCGAGCAAGAGCCGAACAAAAATACATAGATCAGGAAGCAAGTACAACATATTATGATCGAGCACGACGCTTCAGCGAGTATGCAAAACTGGTGGGAGAAAGAAGCAACAAAATAACACTACTAGGTTGGAAAGATCAGGGCGCAAATTGTGCGAAGCAGAAGTTGGTCAGTGTAAAGAACAGTAACGTTACTGCCCAAAAAACACTTCTAGTTGGTCTCACTGTCTAATAAAAAACAAACCATCAAAATGCAATGAGTGATGTAAGAAACTGATGCGGAAATATCCGGAACAAGTCTATATAAAGTAAGCTTACGTCGAACATATCGTTAAGGGCTCGTTGGGTTTCGTTAAGACTCAGGGCAAGCTGGCTCGAAACTCCCACTTCAGGATCGCGGTTGACCAAAGCTTCATGAAGTAGGAAATGATTGACGAACACCAACACGACAGCCATGCTAGAGCAACACATAGATAAGAGGACGGAGCTATCAGAGTAAGGGAGACAGGAGACAAACGGATGTGAAACGGATGAAATGGTTTCCTTTTTTCAAAGTTGCCGTCTAGTGTATATACCAGGCAAGAGAGTGTAAGTTAGGGCGGTCACAGTAAGCAACCAAAACTGCATCTAAACCGCTGTGGCAACAGAGAGTGCACAGTGAAAGACTGGGAGTGAATACATGAGGCGAATCACTCAAAGCTAATATGGTAGTGGAAAATTCGCCTTCTCGGAACAAAATTGCCTTGACTTGTATTGAAGCAATTTCTGGGCTTCCATCTTCGTCAGTTACACCTGTGTTTGCTCAAATGAATAGAGTGTAGAGAGAGAAACGTGTCAGTCACTCCCAAAAATATGCCGATCTCCAGCAGTGTTGGAACACCGGACGATGAGCAGACAAACGGTAAGCTAGTGCGCGTACACACACCAAGTGGCTAGATCTAATGAGTGTGCGACAGAGTCGAAATGACAATAACATTGTGTAATGCCGTTGTTAAAAAGAGGTTATTGCACACATCAGCAATGCAATGAGGTAAGTGTGAATGCGTCCTGACAGCATACTGACGACATAGTGGATGGTACAAAATCCGCTCAGTCGATTTAGTTTATCGTCAAAACTAGTAGACTTGTGTTGGTTGAGAAGTATGGAGGGTTAGAAATATATATATATATATATATATATATATATATATATATATATATATATATATATATATATAATACGGCCAATAGTACAATTGGCATAGTGCCACAACGTATGGAAAATACAATAAACATACGAAGATACAGGGGAAAAAACGATGTTCATGGGAATAGTGAGGCATAACAAGTCCGCATTGTGCGCGATTTCTCGCCATATCCAAGAGCGCTTCTAGCCATGTGTGTTCTCGAGCCTTCACAGTCCAGTCAGAGAACCGAGAGTGCCCGACCACGGCTAACTTTGACGCTAGCTCTTTCATGCTCCTAGCCGAAGTCATACGTTGGCCACCTTGCTTTCGCTTCCAGCCGACGTCGGCGTGCGCGAAGAGGGCATGGCGAGGTAATTGATGAGTAGGTATGCGGAGAACGTGCCCAAACCACTGAAGTCTGTGCAGAGAAATTATACTGCTCAGTGGCCGGCAAAATATGTCTGATCTGAAAGTCCTTCGTAGAATTCTGTAATGAATAAAAAGTTATTACGGCTTACAGGTTGCTTCTAGTGTCACACATCCCATTGGAACCACTATGTCTAGAGCATGTAATGTCACTGAAAATGAGCATCACGGTTGCTATTATACCCTACGGCATCCATTAGCGGTCGGAGCTGGCTATTAAAAGCTTAAGGACGTTGGAGAAAATTGTGTGATCAAGACAAAGTTGAATGGAGTAAGGAAATCTTAAGAAGTACAGAGAGCCGATTACAAGGACAGCTATGGAAACGATAGGCGTACAAAGTAAGCGGCCAGGTGAACAAGAAATTGTAACTGCCTATACAAAATGTTATGTGCCCAACTCGCGAAGCAATGGAGGACCAACAATTTAAGTAGGTGCTCCAAATAAAGGTTACCAACAATGCAACGAGCCTTCCAATCGTTTTGGTAACGTTAATCGGAAAGTTAGGATGTGACTGATGATTTCGTGGAGGTATGAGAACGCACAGTTTCATGACAATCTACAGCCTAACAGTGTTCCACAAAACTGGTTGCCTGCGGAGCTATCTGTTTGTTTAGTAAGCAGCCTGTGCATAGGCAGCAGGGAAATGGACTTCCTTGCCTACGATGTACGCAGTGAGATATTGTGGGACGACAAGCCAAGTGAAGTGGCGCAGGAGTCTAGAGCTTGTCAAGGCATAAGTGGTGGAGATGTGGACTTTCCGCGTCTATCAACAGTGCGTGCCAAACAGCCCCAGAGTGAGAGCGGTGCAAACAATTAGTCTTGAGGAATGTCATAGTAAAACTTCAAACGTGATAAGGGCTTCCGCCTACAGTATTGTGTGCATGCGCCACGCTTGCTATACAGCTAATACGAATCGAGCGTATACGTAAGCGGCAAATGCGACCGCAAGTGTATGTTTGTAGAGAAGCGGAATGCTGCAGCAGAATCGTAATTCGTCAGGGAACAATAATCAAGGGTAAGCGCGCATGCACAGCTAGTAGGTGATTTTAACGTTCTCGGAGAACCAGTTAACCTGCATTTCAGACATGATAAAATTGTTCATGAAAGCTTGTGCACACCGGCCCCGGAATAGGTAGCAACTACGTTCAGTACTCACCAGGTTAGTGTATTTCATGGATAACATACAAGCAAGGATTCATCAGATACAAACGATAGGACATACTGAGGTAGTTAATTCTCCTACCGCACTGGCTGCATTTGGCTATAATGGTTGGAGGCTAGACAAGGTTACCTAAACAAACACATTGGCTCGTGTGTCCGATTGAGATGACATGATTAAACGGTGCAGAATCAAGTAATCCAGAAAAGCAGCATACACCAGTCCGGTAGTTTGATTTCGTCTTATCGTTATCCGTGAGCAAAAGTGTCTCACACATCAAAATGACAGCATGGTTTAGTGCGACGTAAGAAAGTAAGGCTAAAAGAAAGAAATAGAGGGCACTGAAATGGTGAAAAATCACTGTGTCGAGCACCTGGAGAAAGAGAGAGTTAACATGAATTCGCAAAGAAAACAGAAAAATCAAAGAACGGTGAACGTTTTTTGACCACCGTGAACAATTTACAAGCTAGAAAGAAGAGAAAGAAGCAGAAGTCAAGGAATATGATCCATCGTTTACCGGTGAGTGTTGTCAGAATGAGATCGGGAAAACACCACGCACACAGATCAACATCGAAGTGATAAGCGACTAGTGGAAATGTTTTAACTATACGGTAATATGAATTCAAACCGTGAAAAGGATATTAAAGAAAAATAATACAACGCCAGTAGATATAAATAGATAGATAGATCTAGGCGGCATACAGGTCCGGATTAGCCTGTCACTGTGGTCTCCATAGGATAGCGAAAGGACGCTGGCGTATACACAGGGGCCATCAGTGGTTTGCGCTGCACCATCCACAAGTCCATCCTAAAACCCCAGATCCAGTGTAAACACGAAAGAACAAGACATGTTGGTAGGTGGATGGGAGATAGATAACGCAGAGTACACGAATCATAACATAAAAGCAAAAGCTCCCCTAATCCAATAAGAAGAGCAGAAAGTTACTCACAGTTGCACAGTGACGATAATAACTGCACATATTGTGTATACAACGCGTTTGCAAGGGTCCTTTCTTGAATCCATCAGCTGAATACGGCCTCCGCATTTCCCGCAACATCGAGCGCAACAAAACACAAGGCCAATGAGTGGCATCAATATAGCAAAGAGGATACCAATAACCAAGCAGGTTGCAAAGCCAGCGTAAGACGACAGAATCTGGAATCAAGTGAAAACGGAGGAAATAATAAGTTTCACGGTAGAAAGAGAACGCAAAATAGGCATTCACAAGTTACCAAACCGTGAAAACTCAAAATTCCATCTATTTAGTACAACAAAAGAGATCGTTTTGAACTAAATCGATCAAATCGGTAAAAGACATGCGCACAAAGCGCACCAGACACTTTACAGTCAACATCTATGGTACATTTCAAGAGAAAATGATGTGATGTTACCGCATCGACGCTCGCGTGAAGCAAGAGACAGCAGGCATGAGAGTGTTAATAATGGCTCGTAAACAGTTGTAACAGGGACAATGACTTCCTGCACGCTACGCGACGTGTCCTACTCCTCTCTAGGAGATGGAATAGGGTCGATAACTGCCAACGGACAATGAGCCACTAATGTATACAGACAACGACTAGGATCTTGGAGCGAGTAGCCGTTCCTCGATTCGAAATCACCAGATGACGTCGAATTCATTTGGTGTCAAACATCGCCGCGTCACTAGCCAAGGTGGGTTCAAGTGAATAGGCAAGCGATAAACATAAAGTAAACTAACCGAATCAGACTTCAGAATATCTAGTTCAGCGACTGATCTGTTGCAGTGGCTGTATACGAAGCCGAAGTATATGTTGAACCTAAATTTCCAATGATCTGGGACAATTCCCGAAGACTCCTAGTAGCACTATGGATTGAAGATGCCATGAATTGACCAATTCGGTGATTCGTTCATCAAGACTGAAAAGAAGCAATACTTCCAGTAGGTGTTCAATGATGATGAGAATCGGCCCATCATCGCAGTAGTGCCTTGCATCTTGGAAGTGTGAAGCACACACTGGAGTGCTGCGCACTCTCTGCTGGTTTATGCAGGAGTGCCTGCGAAGAACCTCATTGAGCTAGAGAACTACGTCGTCTGCACACTCTAAGCTAGAAAATCGGTTACCTGGTAGAAGCTGTCGCAGAAGTTAACCAGGACAGTTATTAATGTTCCATTCCATCAAAAAACCGAAAAAGAAGGCAAGGTGGTCATGGCACACATTGCTAGTTATGGACAACGCAGCAAGTAGATTCCTGAAGACTGTCACAGGACACCAGGAGTTGCGGCGAATGCGCTCTCGATGACAGTATAATAGCGTCTCACTGTCCGTTAACTTGCCACCTCTGGCTCGATTAGGAAGGACGGATCCTACTGAATGGATGACGAATCTTCTACCATTTGAGATTCAAATACCTCGGATCAACTATCAGACAACTGCATCGATCGTTAAGCAGCTTGGCCCAAAATCATTTGACACAGGTGGTAGGAAACGATTAAAAGTATAATAGAATGTCTGATACACAAACAAAATGTTCTTCAATGTGAATCATCTTTCCTTTGCCTTGTCATCAAGCTGGCACTTACTCGCTGGCTGGATGAATCAGGTTGTTCAAGTGATTAAAACGAATCGACGACGGAGGTCTTGCCAAGGAGACCAAGCCCGCTAGTGTCGAGTTAGATTGAATAATGCACGTGTACATTTCGTTGACATCATCATCATTATACACGTTAGCTGCAGGTGGAAAACACCTCAGCTATTGTGTCGCCATACAAAGGATAAGAAAAAAACGGTCTCCAGTAACGGATGGACATCGTTCCGGAGAGCTAACAGCCGGCTATCGTGCCGCAAAATGTTATGTGATACCTAACGAATGTGATCGTGATTGGAGAAAGAGGCTAAGCAGGAGGGGATGGGCAAAGGAACTCACAACACAAACGCCATTGGGGCCAGCTCCAAGCCATATCAGCAAGTGCGTCCAACCAAACGTGTTTATCGTCCGTAGGGCCCCAGCCAGGCAGTCGGGATGCACCAACCGACGCCAACTTCGAAGTGAGGGTTTTCATTTCTCTCGACCAAGTCATCACTTGGCCTCCCCTCCTTCTCTTCCAACAGCACCCACAACGCGCAAACAATGCACGTCGAAGGAGTCGGTGCACTGGCATGCGCAACACGTGGCCCAGCCATCGGAGCCTGGTGCGTGATACAATGGTGCTGAGCGGTTCACTCGCTCTTCCTGCACCAAATGCGCGACGCAAAACACGCTCATTGCGCACTCGGTGCTTCCACCAGACATGAGCTAAGCTGCGAAGGCAGCGATGATCGAATGTGACGAGTCTCTTCATGTCTGTCCACATGATAGATTAGTTTTCCCAACCGTACAGGAGGGTTGAACGGACGGCTGCGTTATAAACTATGCTCTTTAGGGAAAGAGTAATGTCGCGTCTGCGCCACAGGTGGCGGAGATTGGCAAAAGCACCTCGAGCTTTTGCTATACGGTTCGTCACGTCATCTTCGATCCCACAGGCGCTAATATAGCTGTCCACGTACTTGAATTCCTGAACGACTTCTAGCTGATGACCAAAAAGCGTTAGCGCAAGGGTGAGTCCCTGCTCATCTTGGAGATGTACGTTGCATTTCGATGGAGCAAAGCATAGCCCAAAACGATTGACGGAAAGTGCGAATCGATCCAGTGCTGCTTGACATGTTTGGCAGCTGTCACAGCTTAAGGAAATATCATCGGCGTACTCCAAGTCAAGAAGTCGCTCAACAGGAAGTAGCTCCACACATTCTAGGTCGTGTCCAACGAACGCTGTTTCAATGACTTCATCAATAGCGAAGTTAAAGAGGAAAGGTGATAGCGGGCAACCTTGTCTCACACCGCTGGTGGCGACAGTTTACCATAAACCCTCACTCTGTCCGAACGATGAGCGTACAGCACTTTGACAATGTTTACATATTCATCAGGCACATCTTTCCTCAGCAGACAGTCCCAAAGGGCACATCGATCGTCTGAGTCGAAGGCACCTTTAATGTAAAGAAACACGACAACGGTGGGTCGCCAATAAACATGGCAGTGCTTCAACAATTCACGCAAAGTGAAGATTTAGTCGATGCAGCCCCGACCTCGAGGAAATCCGGCTTGCTCTTCACGAATCTGGCTTTCACGAGTGCCAGCCAGTCTGTGGAGAATGACAGAGGCAAGCAATTTAGAGGCAATCGAAATCAGACTGATCCCTCTACGATTGCCGCATTTTGAACGGGAGTTTCCCTTGAAAATTGGGACAATGACGGAGCGGCTCCAGTCTGTCGGGACAGTCTCCTGCTCCCAAAGTTTAACTAGCAACTCGTGTAAATCATCCATTAGAGCAGGTCCCCAGAAATTGAAGAGGGTTGGGGGAATTCTATCTGCCCCTGCGGTCTTATGCAATTTCAACGGCCTGATCTCACGTTCGACTTTGCGTGTGAGGGCAGATCCATGGAGATGGCCCAGGGAGAAGGGCGCTCAATGCCAAAAAAGTGATAACTCAGGTTGGTTTAATTGCTTCGCAAAGTGTTTAGCCCAACGCTCCAAACGTTTTGACAGGCTGTGGATCGGATGCCCATTGTCGTCGCGTATTGTCTCGCTAATACCGGGTCTCCTGCTTCCTGTTTCCTGTATCAGACGGAATAACTTACGATGATTGCCAAAGGTAGCGCTTGGTTCCATCTCAGAGGCACGCTGAGACCACCATGTTTCGTGGTCTTTCTTTAGGCTAGCACGTAGTTTTGCCCTGAGATTTTTGCGAGTCTCATTGTATTCGCTCCCAGCCGGAATACGTCGGCGAGCATCCATAAGTTCCAGAGACTGTGTAAGACCCAATGTCTAGCTTGGCAATTTGATTTGCCACATGAAGACATGCCTGCTGAAAGTAACGTTTGACGAATATGCGACCAGTGATCTTCGACGGTGTTCAGTGGGAGCTAACTCAGCCCGGATGTCAGGACAATTTGATACACATTCAGAATATCTAGCATCGCCAGCTGGCGAGTGTCAATCTGTTCACATCGACATTGCAGACGTCCACCGAAACGCACCCAGAGGTCGGTGCAGACAATTGCGTGGTCAGAGTCCACGCTCGTGCTCCAAATCGAGCGACAGTTTTGGACACAGCCTCTCCACCGGTAGCTGATCGCGATATGATCGACTTACGTCTATGGCTGGCCCGAACCTGGTGGCCGCCAAGTCACGCTTCGGCGGGTTGTGTCGAAAGTTTGTGCTCGCGAGAAAGAGGCGAGCATCTTCACACAGCTGTAGCAATCGCTCACCGTTATCATTACGAGAGCCTACACCATGTTGGCCGCCCAGATGAAGCTCATTAGAGGACAATTTTCTGACTTCGGCGTTTAGACCGCCACGTAACATCACAGTATCCGTGTTTCTTCTGTAACGAAGAAGATGGTTAAGTTGGTGATAGAAATCTTCTTTCACCGAATCAGGGCTGCAATTTGTAGGGGCGTAGGCCGCAATGACAAACAGGGACCGTTTGTTCTCGTGCTACTTAGTAGGAAGGAACAAACCAACTAATGTAACGGCGCACATCCGACTGTTGACTGGGATCCAATCGATCAGCGCAGCTTCAGCCCGGGGACTCAAAACAATGCCGACACCAGCTTGAATAGCATTGGAAGCTGCACCCTCGCCAGACAGGCGCAACGATAATGTGCTGCTAGTGTCGCATGTGAGTGGTCGCAGGGTAACCACGGGGCTCGATTCTTGCAGGCGGGTTTCTGATAAACAGCAAAAATCGATTGAGATCTCGTGTGGGGGCAAATGCTGCCTATTAGCCAATCTGTAGCAAAGTGCGCACGTTGAGGTAAGCCAGTTTTAGCGAGACGCGAGGAATCCAAAGGAAAACGTATGAACTGACGTTGTCCGTTTGGTTGGACATGGACTTGTCGACTGGATTGGAGCGACGCCCTGCGATTGTGATTTGAAACTAGAAGACAAGCGATTATTTAAACAAGGTGGAGGAGGGCCAAGAATTGAGGGAATAAAAATGGGAGGGATAAAAGTAAGGTTGGAGCAGGACGATAAAGATGAAAAAACGCAAGAAGCGCAGGGTATAAGAAGGCGGGAAGGCCTGGGCAGTAGTATCCATAGCCCTATCCACCCTGCACGATGCAGCAGATAGGCCACCG